ACTCTGCTTCCTGTATGCCTATTACTGTTAATAATAATATGGTGATCTTACAATACAGAATTAATATAGTGAAAACTGCAATGAAGTAAAGGCAGAACACATTGTTCTGATGAAGTTGAGAAGTGGAAGTAGAAGATGGGAAGAATTCACTAATTTTTAAGAATCCTTTCAGCCCTTAAAATTATTTTTGTTTTTCAAGAATGGAGATTTAGTATTGATGGTGGGTAAAAGCCTTTTGGGACATTCTTAACTACTTTCTCTTTTATACCTTTTTAATCTCATTGATCTTTTTTAAAAATTTGAGACAGATGGTTTCTATCCCTTTTATTTAATAAAACTATTATTTTTATTGTCCTTAATGTTATGAGTGCATTTATTTTTTAAATGCTAAAGTCATAAGCAAAACAATTTTTTAATATCTTGCATGACAAGAAATTTTTATACTTCGGATATGGAGGCTTTGATAATTATGTAAATGCTGAGTGATGCAGAATGTTCTAGGAAGCATATTTTTTAAATTACTTCCAAAAATCATGAGTCAATTGTTGTGTCAATAGATTACCTGCATTTTTCTTTTCTATATTCCTAAATTCATAGTAACAGCTACACTGTAGTAGCCTTTCCCTGTTTTTCATTCGCTGAATCCTGTCCAACTCTGCCACCCCATGGAGTGCAGCATGCCAGGCTTCTCTGTCCTTCGCTATCTCCTAGAGTTTGCTTGTCCTAAATAATAGTTATTTTTATGGTATGCTAAATATATACTATGAACAGTATGATATATTTATATCCTAATGTTACTTGGTAGGTAAAAATTAATGACATAGATTGACATCTACTTCAGAATTAGTTGGCATTTTGTTTTTGTACCCAGTTGGTGTGGTGTGTAACCTCAATATTTATATGACTTTCAGGTGGAACACATTTTTGCATAAGTACTTGTATGAGTCAAAGAGCTAGTTCATTATCCTTAACTATTTCCTGAGTGTATTTTAAAACTCATTTTAAAAACTTCTTTTTCTGTGTGTTTTGGGACGCTGTAAAAAATAGATGCTGTTTGTAAACAAGTGGTATAGGTGAGTATAGATCATGTTGAAAATTTTCTAGCAGATAGTAGTTGGAAAAGAACTTTGTGAAGTTTTGGGAAAGAGTTAACAGCATTTTCATGTATTAAAAATTAATTCAGTGACATTTTCATGTAATAAAGACTATAGCACCACACTTAGGGTTTTATGTCCTTCTCTTTTTTGACAATTGCAGTTGAGCAGTTTTCCAAAATATATATCTCTTTTCCACTATTTATGAATTAATATGCTATTTTATGAATTAATATAAATTAACTTATGAAGTAATAAATTAAGTAAATACGTTACAGTAATCCATAATACCAATTTTAACTTCTTGAACTCCAGAACTTAATTTAATTATGAATTTTATAATTATTATTATTGCAAAATAGTTTTTGTGACAGTTTGTAGCAAGTGCTAACACACTTTGCCTGTAAGCAAGCAGGACATTATTTTGTTTTATTTGTCATTTCTTGCAGAATTAACAAAACTTACTATCAGAGATGATGTTTTCAGTGATATGCTGGTAAAAGTTTAACAATAAGCTTTTCGTGGGGGAATTGGTAGAGAGAGGCAGTGGTTTTTAGCTTAACATCAATATGGGATATAATAGAATCAATATAACATCACATCATTGCATATGGAGTTGTGAAGAAGTGATTAGGACTATACCAGTGTTTTTTCTTTTATTACCTGTGCTTTTAATGTCATGTCCAAGAAAATGTTGCCAAATCCAAAGTCATGGAGTTTTTGTCCTGTTTTCTTTTAAGAGTTCTGTTGTTTTAGGTCTTCTTTAGGTCCTTAATCCATTATGAGTTAATTTTTGCATGTGGTGTTAGATAAGTATGAAACTCCATTCTTCTGCATGTTAATATCCAGTTTCCTAGGCCCATTTGTTGAAAAGACTTTTACTTTCTTCCATTGAACAGTCTTGTCACTGTTGTCAGATATTTTTATGTAGTTTCCTTTTTTTTATTTTTGTCTTGAAAAGATATTCAGTTCAGTTCAGTCACTCAGTTGTGTCCAACTCTTTGTGACCCCATGAACTGCAGCACGCCAGACTTCCCTGTCCATCACCAACTCCCCGACCTTGCTCAAACTCAGATCCATCAAGTTGGTGATACCATCCAACCATCTCATCCTCTGCCGTCTCCTTCTCCTCCTGCCTTCAGTATTTCCCAGCATCAAGGTCTTTTCCAGTGAGTCAGTTCTTCACATCAGGTGGCCAGAGTATTGTAGTTTCAGCTTCAGCATCAGTCCTTACAATGAACATTCAGGACTGATTTCCTTTAGGATTGACTGGTTTGATCTCCTTGCAGTCCAAGGGACCCTCAAGAGTCTTCTTCAACACCACAGTTCAAAAGCACCAGTTTTTCAGTGTTCAGCTTTCTTTATAGTCAGGCTCTCACATCCATACTTGACTACTGGAAAAACCATAGCCTTGACTACATGGACCTTTCTTGGCAAAGTAATGTCTTTGCTTTTTAACATGCTGTCTAGGTTGGTCATAGCTTTTCTTCCAAGTAGCAGGCATCTTTTAATTTCATGGCTGCAGTTACCATCAGCAGTGGTTTTGGGGCCCCCCCCAAAATAAAGTCAGCCACTGTTTCCCCATCTATTTGCCATGAAGTGATGGGACTGGCTGCCATGATCTTAGTTTTCTGAATGTTGCGTTTTAAGCCAACTTTTCACTCTCCCCTTTGACTTTCATCATGAGGCCCTTTAGTTGTTCTTCGCTTTCTGCCATAAGGGTGGTGTCATCTGTGTATCTGAGGTTATTGATATTTCTTCCAGCACTCTTGATTCCAGCTTGTGCTTCATCCAGTCCAGCATTTCACATTATGTACTTTGCATATAAGTTAAATAAGCACGATGACAATATATAGCCTTGACGTACTCATTTCGCAATTTGGAACCAGTCTGTTGTTCCATGTCCATTTCTAACTGTTGCTTCTTGATCTGCCTACAGATTTCTCAGGAGGTCAGGTCAGGTGGTCTGGTATTCCCATCTCTTGAAGAATTTTCCACAGTTTGTTGTGATCTACACAGTCAAAGACTTTGGCGTAATCAATAAAGCAGATGTAGATATTTTTCTGGAATTCTCTTGGTTTTTCTATGATTCAATGGATGTTGGCAGTTTGCTCTCTTAAATTTTGTTCAGTGCTATTTCTGGTTTTTCAGTTGAGAGCATATGGACTTTTTCCCTTCATTCTGTTCACATAGGATATTACTTTGATCAACTTTTATGTGTTTAACTGTCCTTGCATTTCAAGAATAAATCCAGTTTGGTCATAGTGTGTATCGTCCTTCTTATGTACTGCTGAGTTTGGTTTGCAAATGTTGAGGATTTTTTCATCAAGGATCTTTGCATCAAGGATTTTTGCCTCCTTTATATTCATAAAGGATGTTGGTACATAGTTGTCTTGTAGTGTCTTTGTTATCAGGATAATGCTGTCCTCATCGAATGAATTAGGAAGATTTTACTCCAATCTTTTGATAAAGTTTGAGGTGCTGGTATTAGTTCTTTAATTGTTTGATATAATTCACCAGTGACATTAGGCCCAGGGTTTTTCTTTGTCACGAGATGTTTGATTACTGATTCAGTCTTCTTACTGGTTATGTATTTATTAAGATTTTCTTTTTGTTTCTTACTCGACCTGTCTTATTTTTCTAGTAATTTGTCCATTAAATCTAGGTAATCTGACTTGTTGGTGTAAGTTGTTCACAGTACTCTCATAGTTCTTTGTATTTATGTAGAATTGATGTAATAATGTCTCCATTTTGACTCTGATTTCTCTTTCTTCTTAGTCCTTCTAGCTCAAGGTTTGTCCATTATTAAAATCGTTTTGAAGAGCCAACTTTTGGTTTCATTGATTTTTCTCTATTATTTTTCTGGTCTCTACTTTGTCTCTCCTCTCATCTTCATTATTTCCTTTATTCTTTTTGCTAGGTTTGGTTTAGTTTGTTCCTTAAATTTTAAAGTTATATTGTTGATTTAAGATTTTTCTTTTTTTTTTTAAATGAAGTTGTTTACACCTACACATTTTCCCATTAGTACTGCTTTGTTTGTTTCCTATAAGTTTTGGTTTGTTGTATCATTGTTTTCATCCTCTTTAAGTGTCTTGTAACTTCCCTTATAGCTTCTTCTTTGATAAGTTGGTGGTTTAATTCCCAGAATATTTTGAATTTTCCAATTTTCCTTTTGTTATTGATTTTTAACTGTATCTTAATTTGGTCAGAAATACTTTGTATGATATCCATATTCTTTAATACAGTGAGATTAATTTGTGGCCTAACATATGGTGTATCCTGAAAAATGTCACATGTGCATTTCAGAAAAGCATGTGTTCTGTTACTGGATAGAGTGTTTCATATGTCTATGTTTCGTATGTCTGTTTGGTCTAGTTGATTACTGTGTTAAATTCTCTATTTCTTGAAGGATAAAGTCCTTTCTACTCACCTTGGCTTTTGTAATTTGTATGCGAGCTGTGCCAGGAACATGTGCACAGCTGTCTGCTCTATGGCTGGAAGTGGGTATGAGGGTTGGTGCTGCTACTATGCATAGCTGAAATTGACCAAAATTAACTGCAGTTTACTGTCCATGTCTTTTCCTGAAAATTAAAAGCTTTCAACAGACTCTAAAGTTCCAACATAGTTACATCTGATAGATACTGCCAGCCGGTTTTGTCTACGTAGGGAGACAGATACCTGGGGCTTCTTAAGAATTCTGCCATCTTTCCACAATCTTCTTTAATCCCATATTAATTTCTGTATCAAGTGACTTTGTGAGTAGATTAAGTAACAAGACCTCACATTAATGGAGGGATGCTTTTATTAAAATATAACAGCCCTTTTCTCAGCTAACTTTGTATTTAAGAGCTATGTTAGATTCATTTGATATATGTATAGTAATTTTTGGCATTTAACTTTTGGCAGGTGGTTTTGGAATGTATGCTTAAAAAAGACCTTATTTACAATAAGGTCACTCCAACATTTCACCACTGGAAGATTGATGACAAGAAATTTGGCCTTACCTTTCAAAGTCCTGCTGATGCTAGGGCTTTTGATAGAGGCATTCGGAGAGCTATAGAGGATATTTCTCAAGGTAGGTTGTTTTGACTGTTTCCTTAATTTATTAGTTACTTATAGTAGAAGTGACTTCAAGCAAGTCAGCTTTTATGAGATGAGGATCAGGTTTTAAAAGCTGATTGTAGGTGAAGATAAAATAATGGGCTCCTTAATCTGCTTTATATTTGTCATATCACAGTATATACATCAACAGCACACATCAGATAATTCTAAAGTTTTAAAATAAGGGCTCAAAAAGAGAGGAGCAGTCAAAACGTTCAAAATCCCGCATGTGTGTGTTACTTATATCCTTGTTTTGGTAATTATAAGCAGAAAATATATAATAATTAAATACATGTTGATTCTAGTTACTCTATGACAAAACCTTTCTTAAGTCTTCACCTGATTTCATTAATAAGGATTGGAGGAGACAGCAGTGTACTCCCTTTGTGTCTTACGAGTCTGTTAGATTATAAACTCTAAAGCTTAAAAGGGAGGAAGAATATTTACATGTAACACTGGCTTTTGCTTAATTAAACAAAAGGAAATCACATTAAAAATCATTTCTTTCCCCCAAAGAAGTCATAACTAAGATTTAATTTGTTTTTTTAATTAAGAAAGAAAATATCTCTGTTAGTAGAAATAACCTTCTTATACAAAGCAACTGAATGAAAACGTGTTGACAGCATTGTGACTTGTATATTTTGAAGATGGGACTTTAGTAAAAAAATTAGAAAACATGAACTAATTATGAGACAAGCCAGAAGCAAGAACATCAAAAAACTTAGCACAAATATGTGTTGTTAGTGAGTGAAGCTGTAGTTAAATAATATTTTAGCTACTTTAAAAGACTAGAATTTGGTAAACAATTTTTGATTTCTGATTCAGAAAAAAATTCCATGAAACGATGGCAGTCATCTTATCCTTAGTACCAGAACCCATAAATTCTCCCTATATCAGTGTTCTTATTGTTGACTGAACATGTGAATCAACCTGGAAGGCTTTTGAAAAATAGAATAACTGGTCCTCACTCAAGACCACTTGAATCAAACTACTTGGGGAATAGAGCTGAGGCATTCCTTTTTTCTTTAAAGTTTCTGTGCATTTCAAATGTTATGAGGAATTATCAAATTATATATCATGAAGTTAGGCAGGAGGTGGGGGAGGTGAACATGAATCTTTAGATTCTCCTGTAGTGGTTATGATTCTTAAACCATTGCAGATGCCTCATCCAGCAGAGATTCTGACATTCATTTGAGGTTGTACCCTGGCATCGGTTTTTTGTTTTTTTTTTAAGTTTCCCAGTTCTGATATTTAGCTAGTGTGGAAGAAGCAGTACTTTAAAAAGAAAATTGTTATCCATGGCTGCTGGAATTCTGTGTTTTGAATTAATTTTATCCCCGCACTCATACTCCCATAAGAGCATACTTCTTTCCCTAGGGTCGGATAGAATGGTTTATCTTTTTAAAAAAGTAATTAATAAGGAGACCTCATAAACACCTTGCCAAATAGAGTAGATTACCCTACTGTGTGAGTAGATTACAGTACTCAGCCTGTCTCATTGTTTTTGAACTTTTAAAAAAAATACACTTGGTAGCATTATTACCAGCCACTATTACAGATTTTAAAAATCACACTAAATATTTCTTACTTAGCCTTTTATGATAGTAAGAATAAACTATGCAGCCCTTTCCATAGGTCAACTTTCTCTTCAAGGGTAGCATATAAACTCAGGATACTTTGCTAAAATAAATTCTTCTTATTAATTTGTTGAAACTAGAGGCACTCTTGAATGCCGTGAAAAGTTTTATAGCATCATTGGTGCTCACAAGTCAGTAACAACAAATGGCTATTGATTATCAATAGCGGATTCAGGCTCATTTGTTTTCGTTCTTACTAAAGCAGCTAAAATCCTAGCTTGAGGTACTGAATACTGTTTCGTAGGTCAGAGTATTTAGAAAAATTGAGTAAATCATGTGGGTATCTCTTAAATAGCAGAGGAATGTGATGCATGTACTCTTCCTAGCAGTTTGATATTTCAGAGAAATCAAGGGAGGAGGGCATAGTAGAGACTGCACTTTCACAGGACGCACCTCCTTAATAAGGAACTGGAGATTTACCTGTAGCAGAGGAAAGCAGTCGCTTTATTCTCTGTTCTTCTAACAGAGGGGCAAGTATGAGTGGCCACCATCTGACTAGTTGCCAGGCAGTCCAGAATGATCTCTGATCAATCTTCTATAGTCTCTTAGTGATATTATCAATTAGTCAGCAACTCTAAAATCCAAGACAAAAATTCTATGCTTAATCAACTTTTACTTGTTTTCTTAGGATGCCCATCATTTAAAAATGAAGCTGAAGGTACAGAAGACAATTTACAAGTAAGTAGTTTGACTTAAAAGGAATTTCAAAACCTGAAGGATGTGGTGGAAATCACTAGCCTTAATAAATAAACAATTCATATAAATTCTTAAGAAATTTTTAGATGCCATATTTGTCAGGAAATGTGTGTGTGTGTGTGTGTGTGTGTATGTATATATATATATATATATATATATATATACATTTTATATTTAGAGCGAGAGGTTGATTTTGTTCAATTTTTTTATAATAGCATCAAAAAGTATAAAGTTCCTAGCAGTAAATCTAATGAAAGACGTGAAAGAAAAAAACTTGTTGGGAAAGCCTAATTATAAAGACTGAAATTTTCACAATTAGAAGATTCAATTTTGTTTAAATTGCAATTTCCCCCAAAATTGATTTGTATGCAAACCCATTCAAAATCACAAAAATTTTTGTATAGAAATTTATGATGTGATTCTAAAATTTTTTTCTTTTTTTTTGTAAATTAATTTATTGATTTTAATTGGAGGCCAATTACTTTACAGTATTGTAGTGGTTTTTGCCATACATTCACGTGAATCAGCTATGGGTGTACATGTGTCCCCCATCCTGAACTCCGCTCCCACCTCCCTCCTCATCCCATCCCTCAGGGTTGTCCCAGTGCACTGGCCCTGAGCGCCCTGTCTTGTGCTTCGAACCTGTACTGGTGATCTGTTTCACATATGGTAATACACGTGTTTCAGTGCTATTCTCTCAAATCATCTCACCCTCACTTTCTCCCACAGAGTCCAAAAGTCTGTTCTTTACATCTGTGTCTCTTGCTGTGATTTTGTTCAGTTTTATAAGGAATTGGCTCATTGGATTGTGGGAGCTGGCAAGTCCAAAATCTACAGGGTAGGCAGGTAGGCAGGTAGGCAGATAGGCAGATAGGCAGGCATCTTGGAAGTTCTGGCAAGAGCTGATGTTTTGATCTTGAGTCTGAAGGCAGTCTCAAGGCAGATTTCCTTCCTCTTTGTGGAACCTCAGTCTACAAGTCTTTTCATAATAGGTCCCACCCACTTTTTGGAGTATAATCTCCTTTACTGAGTCTACTAGATTTAGATGTTTGTCACATAAGAAAATTACCTTCACAATATTTAGGCTGATGTTTGCCCAAACCACTTGACACCATGGCTTAGTCAAGCTTACAAATAACATTAGCCATCACAGATATCCTGTTCCATACGTAAGGTACTTGTATTAAAAATTCATAGAAAAATAAGTGTGAAATGTTGATAAACTTGGACACCCTTTATTTCAATAGGCAGTATAAATTAACGTTCTTTAGTTACCAAATTATCGAAGATTTTAAAAGTTAATTTTACCCCTGACTGTGTCTTTCCATGAGGTTGACAGACTGACCCTCTGCTAGAGAAAATGTAGATTGGTAGATTGTTTTTAGAAAGCAGTTTGGTAATACATATTTAAAAGCCATAAAAATAGAAACATTCATGCCTGTTGATCAAGTGAATGAATTTAAAGGGATAGAGATACACAGAAAAATTTTATAAACAGATTTTTGAGCGTGTGTGAAATATTGATAATAAAAAATTATCTAAATAGAATGGAAGTTGAATTAATTAAGGTATCTGTCATAAAACCTGTAAAAAATTTTATTATTTGTAATTTACTTGCAATGTATTGAGTAGTAAAAAACATAATTATATGGTGTTGTGATCCATTGTTACTTGACTAAAATGATAAATAATTTTGTTGGTTGCTTTTGGGATTCTGAGCTGTATGGTTTTCTTTTTAGTACTTTTAATATCCTAAAGTACTAGTACTTTTAGAATAATAGAGAAAAAAATTTATATGTATACCTTATATAAACAATTTTTCATATAATTATAAAAATAGAAATCACCTAAAGATGTGACAGACTGTTTTATGTACATTTACTATCAGAAAATGAGAATGGTTTTCATTTTGAAAATGGGAGAAGTATAGCAAAGTTCAAAAAATAAAACATAAGTATGCTGCCATTCATGATAACCATCATACATATTTTTAAATATAGCCTTTGAGTGTTTTTCTGTACAAGTCAGTGGGTACACATGTGTTACTATGATATCATTGTACTATAGATTTTTTCCAAAACTTCACTTAAATAGAGAATATTTTTATATACCCTTAGTGTTTCAAGTTTACGATTTTCAATCTTCTTGTGTCTGTAATTTGCTTTCAGTGGATGTATCCTAACACATTATATTTATTATACATTTAAGAGTTCTTATTTGTGTTTTAACATATGAATCTATTTATTTTATTGATAGCTAGTTATTTTTATAGAACAGTGAATTTCAGTTAATTAGGTGTAAGTAATAAAATACAAAATAAATATATTTTTTAGTTAATTGTTTTCCAAAGTTCTGTTTTGATCTGGTATCAACGAAAATAATGCTGGACTGGATGAAAGTTAGAACCAGACATGAAACAACAGACTGGTTCAAAATGGGGAAAGGAGTACATTATGCCGAATGCCAGGCTGGATGAATCACAACCTGGAATCTCAATTGCCAGTAGAAATATCTGCAGCCTCTGATATGCAGATGATACCAATTAATGGCTGAAAGTGAAAGGAACTAAAGAGCCTCTTGATGGAGGTGAAAGAGGAGAAATGTAAAAGCTGGCTTAAAACTCTACATTCAAAAAACTAAGATCATGGCATCCAGTCCTGTCACTTCTTGGCAAATAGATGGGGAAAACGTGCAAAACAGTGTCAGATTTCATTTGCTTATGATCCAAAATCAATGTGGACAGTGACTGCAGCCATGAAATTAAAAGACAGTTGCTCCTTGGAAGAAAAGCTATGACCAACTTAGCATATTAAAAAGCAGAGACATCGCTTTGCTGAAAAAGGTCTGTGTAGTCAAAGCTGTGGTTTTTCCAGTAGTCATGTATGGATGTTGAACCATAAAGAAGGCTGAGTGCTGAAGAATTGATGCTTTCGAACTGTGGTGCTAGAGAAGATTCTTGAGAGTCCCTTGGACTACACGGAGATCGATCAGTCAGTCTTGAAGGAAATCAGTCTGAATATTCATTGGAAGGACTGAAGCCCCAATACTTTGGCCACCTGATGAGAAAAACTGACTCATTGAGAAGATCCTGATGCTGGGAAAAATTGAGGGCAAGAGGAGAAGGGGATGACAGAGGATGATGTGGTTGGATGGCATCACTGACTCAATGGACATGAGTTTACACAGACTTGGAGACAGCGATGGATAGAGAAGCCTGGTGTGCTGCAGTTCATGGGGTCACAAAGAATTGGACACGAGTTAGCAACTGAACAACAGCCACAGCAATCAAAGAAAATATGGGGCTGGAAATGGGGAAGCATTTTCTGAATTGCTCCCTATGAAGAGAGTGAATTTAATTAACATTTATCTATTAAAGGAGGTTTTTTTTTAACATTCTGCTTTGGTTTTGCTTCATTTCTACATATGACATTGTATAGAGGAATAACTTCTGCAGGATTTATTTGCAGACTTTGCACATATCACAGTCAATGGTTTTGTAAAAACCATTGTCTTATTTTCATAATCATTTCCTTCTAGTGCCACATATGTCAAGTCTTTGGTATGGAGTAGTAAAATGGGCAAGATATGAATGAGGAATAATAAATTTATCACAGAGGCAAAAAAAAAAAAAAAAGTGAAAATTTAGAAATAGAAAGGGATCCAGGGGATCTTCTCGACCCAGGGATGGAACTCAGGTCTCTTAAATTGTAGGCAGACACTTTACCCCCTGAGCCACCAGGGAAGCCCAGAAATAGAAAGGAGGAGCCTAGTGAAGAGAATTAACTGTATAACCAAAGCAAGAAGAGTAGTTATTCTGTTGCTGGCTTCTTGGAGTCTCTGCTTCATAGTAGAGTCTCTTGATTGCCCCCAGTGCAGCAGGTTACACAGGCACCCCTGAAGCAGTTATTTATATTTTATCTTCATTAGACCCCTAAGCACTTGCTTGGTTTTTATTTTCATAATAAAGTAGAAAATTTGCATTGTCACTAGAGACTGTAAAATAGGCTTCCACTTAAATGTAGTTTTACAAAGAGCAATTTTTATGTCAAATTTTAATTCTTGGTTTTTACTTACTTTGATGTTTTTAAAATAGATTCTTAAATTATATTCCTTTTGGTGGAATCTGATTCTTCTCCCTTTGAGAAGGTGCTATACTTGGTGGGTTGTTACTTAACAGAAAACATATGGTAAGAATGACAAGAGGATGACTTCCAGAGGTAGGCAACCTGAAGCTTTGTGACAATAAACATGTTCATGAGCCATCTTGGATGCAGGTCATTCACCCCCAAATGAGACTTCAGATGACTGCAGTCATAGGTAATGTCTTAACCGTAACTTCTGTAGGGAATGTGAGTCAGAACCACCTAGTTAAACTGTTCATTAATTCATGACCTAGAGAAACTAAAATAATAAATGTCATTTTAAGACTTTAGGTTTTGGGATAATCTGTTCCTGATACAGATTTTGCTATCCATAATGGAATGTTGCCATAACAAGCACTTTAAAATGTGGCATATAATTTGAACTTGGGGACAGTAGATAGAAGCTTAATGTTAGGCCTTTGAAGAGACTGCTGAGGAGGACTGAAGTGAAAATGAAGAAAACCATATTGGAAACTAAGAAAGGAAATCACTGTTATATAGTAGCAGAAAGTGGAGCAATACTGTCACCTATACTGACACGTGAAATAGAAAATGTTCTGCTTATTGATAAAAGAGAAGTTGGCAGAAACAGGCTTAGGAAGGACTCCTAAGCAAACAGACAAAAAAAGAAGCAGGACTTGCTGGTTTTGAAAATTCTCATCCTCTCAATATGTTGAACTATGCTAAAATTAAGACTTGGCTTCCAGGCAGAGATAAGTCTAGAGCACTCAGATAAGTTTGTCTAAAGATAAAGCCAGTGTTTTGACTATAAAATCCTTTGTTAACATCTTTTCTATATAATCAGAAAGATGTAAGGTGAGCCACAGAGAACCTTTTAAT